TATAGAGATAAAAAATAGAATGATGAAATATACTCTGGTAAATTTGAGAGCAGTTTAATATTGCTAAAGAAAAAAATCAATAATTTGAAAATATAGCAATATATTTTAATAAACTTAAAGACATAAAATTTGAAAACAGAAAAAAGAACTCAAAATTCTATCTGGTATCATTTTATTCCTAAACAACTTCTTTAATAATGTTTATAATACTGACATTGATAAATGTTTAAACACATAACAGAGCTTCAAAAGACATGGAATAAAGCAGAGAGAACTGAGAACAGAAAGAGATAATAGTTGTAAAATCAGTAAGGATATAGAAGATGTGAATAATACTAATCACCCAGCTGACCTATTTGATATTTAGAGACTACTCCATATGATAGTGGAATATCTATCTATTTATCTATCTCTGTATAGATATATACACATATACACATACATGTATTTTGTCAAGTGCAAACAGAACATTTGAAAATATTATAAAGTGAGACCTAATAAATTTAAGTAAATTGATATCATACAAAGTATGTTTTCTAACAATTAAGGAATTTAGTTTTAAATTAGTAGCAGAAATACATATGAAATATACCCAAATATTTGGAAAAAAATCAGCAACATTCTAAATAACCAATGTCAAAAGTAATGTTACAAGAATTGATACAGAGGGACAATTGTATCCTGATATTTATAGCAGCAAAATCAACAATAGCCAAATTATTGGCTATTGAAAGAACCCAGATGTCCATAGTCTTATGAAAGGATAGAGTAATTGGATAAAGAAATAGTACAATGGAATATTACTCAGCCATCAAAATGAAATTTTGTATTTTTCAATGATGTGGATGGAATTAGAGTATGCGATGCTAAGGGAGATAAATCAGAGAAAAACAAATACCATATGATATCACTCATAGATAGAATTTAAAACACAAAGCAGATGAACATAGGGAGGTAAAGGAGAGAGAGAGGCAATCCACAAAAGAGACTCTTAATTACAGGGAATAAACTGAAGGTTGCTAGAGGGGCGGTGAGGGGAAATCGGTTAAATGGGTGATGGATATTAAGGAGGTATCTTGCTGTCATGAGCCCTGGCTATTATATATGAGTGATGAATCTCTAAAATTCTATACCTAAAACTAATATTACACCATATGTTAACTAACTGTAATGTAAATAAAACTTGAAACAAACAAGAGAACATTACAAGAAAAAAAAATTAAATACTTGAATAAGGGGTGCCTGGGTGGCTCAGTCAGTTAAAGGCCTGCCTTTAGCTCCGATCATGATCTCAGGGTCTTGGAACCAAACCCTGCATCAGGATCTGCACTCAACAGGGAGCCTGTTTCTCCCTCTCCCTCTGCTCCTCCCCCAACTTGCATTCATGCACGCTCTCTCTTTTTCTAATAAATAAATAAAATCTTTTAAAAATATATTTGAACTGGACAAAAATGGAACTGTGACATATTAAAATTAGTACAGTGCAATTAAAGCATTGTTAAAGGGAAAAATGAATGCTTATATTAGAAAAATATAAATGATTGAAATCAATGATGTATGTATCCACTTTGAGCCACTAAAAATAGAAGAGAATATTAAACAAAAAGTAAAAAAAAGGAAGACAAAAATAAAAATAAGAGCAGAAATCAATGAATTAGAAAATAGAAAAACAAGAAGAAAATAAGTGAAACAAAAGCTGATCATTGAAAAGATCGTTCTTTTCATAAACATTTTTCTAGACTGATCGGGATGAAAAAAGAGCAGAACAAATAACCAGTGACCAGGTTATCAGAATGAGAGAGGAAGGATCAATATAGATAATGCACAAATTTTAAGTATAATAAGAAAATACTGTAAATGACTATATGCTAGTAAAAACAACTGAAATGAAATGGACAAATTGCTGGAAAGATAGATATCACCAGAGACCACTAAAGTCAAAGATATTACTGGGATAAACCTAGATCTATGAAAGAACTCGAATTTGTAGTTAAACCTTTACACAAGTCTTAGCATAGGCTGTTTCACTGGAAAATTTTCCAAATATTTAAGAAAAAAATAATAAGCATTATAATTACACATTGTATATACACATATATAAATATGACATATATAAATGTCAAAATAAAAACTAATTTTAATTTTTTCTATGTTATTACCATATACTCCCATTCTGCTTTTATACATTAAATATCTAGAGAATGGAACAATTATTTGTACCATTAAAGGGATGAGACAAATGCTATATGAAGATGTAAAGATAAAAAATACAGATTTAAATGACTTACTATATTAACCTATGAATTTGACTTATTCTAGCCTGTATGATAATTATGTATCCACTTAAATATGAGAATTTTGAACAAATGTTGAACTTTAAGACAGAAATCTAAACAGAAGGAAGTCTCCCTAGAAAGATAAAATGATGAGAATGAGATTCTAGAACAATATTTGTTCATTGTAATGAATGATCTAAGAGCTTTTCTGTGCTGCAATTAGATGTAATATTGACTCTTAAGGGTACACACCAGAAACCAGAAGTCTCAGAGATACATGATCATTATCTGGGGTGAATATGTTCATGTTTGATTTGTAATCCTTTGGAAAATACCAACAGTATGTCACAAAGGAATTAATGTTTGCAAAGAACATCTATTTACCTTATTTGAAGAAATATCTTGTTTATTGCTATGTGCTGTATTAAATGGATAAGAGTTTGAAAGGAGCAGAATATCAGTAAGTGCTCAGGAATTAATAGAAAAAAAGGGAATTGGGTTGTAATTATTCTTCTTGAAAAAGTTTTTTAAAAAATCTAATCCTCACTATGGCTAATTTTTGTCAATACAAATATATTTCTACTAATTGTTTTCTTGTGATTATTCTTAAACTATTTGGTTCATGAAGTATAGAAGAGATTCTGTAAATATCTGTAGTTATGCCTGAGTGGTAACCAGAATTAGTAACTAAGATGCATTTTTAAGATTGTCCATTTGTAAAATTTAATTGTCTCCTTTTTAACAGTTAGAGCCACAACCCAAAAGAATGAAATATATTGAAACTGGACCATTCCCTTATACCATACACAGAGATAAACTCAAAATGGATGAAAGACCTCAATGTGAGACAAGAATCCATGAAAATCCTAGAGGAGAACAAAGGCAATTACCTCTTCGATATTGGCCACAATAAATTCCTTTGAGACATGTCTCCAAAGACAAGTGAAACAAAAGCAAAAATGAACTTTCAGAACTTCATCAAGTTAAAAAGGTTGGACACAGCAAGGGGAACAGTCAATAAAACTAAGAGGCAGCCCATGGGATGGGAGAAGATATTTGCAAATAACATTACAGATAAAGGGCTGATATCCAAGATCTATAAAGATATATAAAGAACATCTCAAAATTAACACTCAAAAAACTAATAATCCAGTCAAAAAATGAGCAGAAGACATAAACAGACACTTCTCCAAAAAAGACATACAAATGGCTAACAAACATATGAAAAAATGTTAAACATCACTAGCCATCAGGGAAATACAAATCAAAACCACAATAAGATACTACCTTACAACAGTTAGAATGGGAAAAACTAACAAAACAGGAAACAACAAATGTTGGCAAGGATGTGGAGAAAGGGGAACCCTCTTACACTGTTGGTGGGAATGAAGCTTGGTACAGCCACTCTGGAAAACAGTATGGAGTTTCCTCAGGATGTTAAGAATAGAGCTACCCTATGACCTGGCAATTGCATTACTGGGCATTTATCCCAAAGATACAGACATAGTGAAAAGAAGGGGCATGTGCACCCCAATGTTCATAGCAGCAATGTTCACAATAGCCAAACTGTGGAAGGAGCTGAGATGCCCTTCAACAGATGAATGGTATATAAACACAACGGAATATTATTCAGCCATCAGAAACGATGAATACCCACCATTTGCATCAACATGGATGGAACTGGAGGGGATTATGCTAAGTGAAGTAAGTCAAGCAGAGAAAGACAACATATGGTATCACTCATATGTGGAACATAAACAATAGCATGGAGGACCATAGTAGAAGGGAGGGAAATCCAAAGGGGGAGAAGTCAGAGAGGGAAATTAGCCATGAGAGACTCCGGACCCCAAGAAACAATCTGGGGGTTTCAGAGTGGGAGGTAGTGGGGGGAGGGGGTAACAGGATGATGGGTATTGAGGATGGCATGTGCTGTGATGAGCACTGGGTGTTATACTTAAGTAACGAACCACTGAACACTACATCAAAAACTATACAGTGGCTAACTGAACATAATAAAAAACATGGACAGAATCAAATTAGTATTAAATAATTAGAGACAAAATATTTAATAATATAAGTCAATTAATAAAAAGCTGATGAAAAATTTTTAAAAAGAATGAAATATGTTGATATCTGTTTGATGTTAATAGAAATCAAGTAACATTTAAAAATTCTGTAGAAATATATAAAAGTAAACTGTCAAGGAACAGATTTAGAATAGAGAGTTTATTCTTTTGATGAAGTAAATTTTTAAAAAATGACACTACATTTATGGAAATTTAACTGTACATAATTAGCTTTTTTCCTGAATAATATGGTACATAAATAAAACATACAATTACATTTTAATATTTTAATAAAATATGATTTTTATATACACACAGTGGTGATGCTATTAATACTAGCATTCCTATTTCTAGATACTCTCTAGAAGTAACATTAACGTGCTTGAATTAGTCATGGGCTTCTGGGCACACTTTGGCCAGAAACATGCCTTATACAAAGAATAACCAGCTGATTAGTGGGCCTTTGACTTGGGTTAATTCACTCTGTTAATCTCTTTAACAATTTAATCTAACCAATTTAACTGAAAACAAAACCACCACAATCTTTTAATAAAATTTTAAAGAATGCCTTTATTCTTGATAAAATAAGATCAGAAATTTTCTTCCATGACATTGATTCTGGATACAAGCCAGAAGGATGTACACGTATAACACCTACCTGTACCAGGAGATGGAGGGCTCAGGGGAGCCAGAGGCCCTGCAAGATAACGTCATCTCTTCTCCTCTCTCTGCTGTGGCATTAAAGGATTTCTGAGGCATTGTGATTGCTGGCGGCACTGAAAAAAGACATAAACATAGATTAAATAGAGATAAAAAACATTTCATCAACACCATTGAGACTTCCTTAGAACTATTTAGTTTTTGTTGTTGTCATTCTTAAAATGCTAAGCTTTAGAACTTGATCACTTACTTCTGTACTTACATCAACAAGATGGACTTGGTTGCACAGTAAAATGACTTTAAGACCACTGACCTGCATTCCAATGTACAATAATTAAATAATACACACCTGTGTTATTTTACCATTTTAACCCATCAATTAAGACTAAACGAGAAACTAGACATTTTAACAAATTTATATGTATACTTTTATGAAATATTTCTCACAGAAAAACAGACAATGCCACCCTGACTGACAGCAACACTGAGATCTACTTGGAGCATAAATGGATTTCCTATTTGGGTCTTCATCAGCATATGTAATTCTATAAGCAATCATTCACTGCTTCAAGACAAGGCTTTCAAATTAGGTGTCAAACGATAATGTTCTTTCTGATTAACTGCACTTAATTTCTTCACACAACTATAGAACATTTTATGAAGAGAAACTGCTCAAGCCATAGAGAGTATGAAATAGATTTTCATGAACAATTCAATTTTAAAATTAAGCTTCCCCAATTTCTAACTAATTACATTGCAAAAACCATATATGCTGCACATTTGGACATGTTGAAACTGTTACTGAAATGTACCATTTGCAATAAATAAATCAATAGTATCCATAATAGATGCTAAATATCAAAGCACAGCATAAATTTTTATTTTAATGCACACTTTAATGATTTTCAATTGAATCTGACAAAATGATATTCCTAAAATTAATTATATTAATAGAATTGTTTTTTATACATCCTAAACAACATGACCAGACAGGCATTTAGAAGTGTGACATTAATTAAATATCTCCACAATAGCATTCAGGTCAGCATTAATGCTGTATTATTGTCATTGATGGTGGGGATAGGAATTGATATGTATCTTACCAATTAAGCACAATAAATCAAGTTTCTGACTTTATGAATTTAGATACAAGGGACATGATCTGACATGCTGTCTCTAAAGTAACATAGTAATTACAAGTATTACAGTAGGATGGACTGTTTTTGAGACATTAACTCTGCATTTTAAGTACACTAAAATTTGACTTTCTGTACCTTGTTTTACTTCTTTTGTAATTATAGAAAAGAAAACTTTAATCAAAATGTAATGCCTTTCATTTTGTTATAATAAATGTAGTTGCAATAGCACATGACTATTTTTTTATTACAACAATAAATATTTTAACCCATTAGATAATTACAATGTAAATGAACTCTTTAAAAAAAAATTCTCCATTTGGGTAAATTTCTATATTTGTGTAAATGGAAACATTTCAAAATGGGGAATCACATGCTCCAGTGCTTGTCCTACTATTTTTACTACTGAAACACATTATTTATTCTTTATCATAATTTTCTGTTCTGTAGTATAAACTGCATATGCTGGATGGTTTGTAAGAACTGACAAATCTTAATGTTTACAATTTATGATACAGTGACTCAGCTCATGAAATGTGCGTTCTTACTTAGAGTGTGGATTTGTCGAACAATATTACCATTGCATATTTATAGGGTAATTTGAAGAGTAATTCCGGAACTATTCTGAAGAATAATAGCATTCAAAACCTGCAGAGGTATTCACTAGCTCTGATGCCAGGATATTCAGGGAATTTGTAAGTCACTGATCAAACTATAGAGCATTTTTATATGTACTACCTCATTGGTTCTGGATTTGCTATTGAGGTGGAGTAAATAATTTTTTAAAAGATTTTATTTATTTATTTGACAGAGAGACAGAGAGAGAGGAGTGGCAGGCAGAAGGAGAGGGAGAAGCAGGCTCCCCAAGAAAGCTATTCTTGCATAACTCATTGATAATCAGATCTGGGCAAAATATATGTCACCAAATAAATTCCCATGTATATCCTCTATTTGGAAGAAGACTACTAAAACTAAGATTCACGGTCCTTTCTTACTTACTTTTCCTTGTTTTTACTCTTAAGGCTGTGTGACCCTTAGAAATTAGTATAGGGGCACCTCTGCCTTCAGCTCAGGTCATGATCCCAGGGTCCTGGGATCGAGCCCTGCGTTGGGCTCTCTGCTCCGCAGGGAGCCTGCTTCCCCTTCTCTCTCTGCCTGCCTCTCTGCTTACTTGTGATCTCTGTCTGTCAAATCAATAAAATCTTAAAAGAAAAAAAAAAAAGAAGAAATTAGTATAAAGGTGGATTTGAAAAAGATGGTAAAAGAGTAAGAGCCATCCTGGCAGCAATTTCAGAATCTGTCTAATGTAACTGTCTTGGATCTCTGCAGTCTACTGGAGATTTGAGTTTCCAAGAGGAGACATGGCGAATTGCTAGCAAGGTCTCAAACAGGTATTTGTACAGCAATGTTCATGTTCCCAGCAGCATTATTCACAATATTTTACGAGTGAAAGCAACCTAAATGTCCATCAATGCATGAAAGGATAAGCAAACTGTGGTACGTCCACAAAAGGGAATACTCTTCAGCTTTAAAAAGAAAGTTAATTCTGACATATACTACACATGGATGAACCTTGAGGATGTTATACCAAGTAAAATAATCCAGTCACGGAAAGACAAAATACTCTATGATTCCGCTTACTATGTACTTAGAGTAGTCAAAATTATCGAGACAGAAAGTGAAATACATTTTTTTTAAAGATTTTATTTATTTATTTGACAGACAGAGATCACAGGTAGGCAGAGAGGCAGGTAGAGAGAGAGGGGAAACAGGCTCCCCACTGAGCAGAGAGCCCGATGTGGGGCTCGATCCCACGACCCTGAGATCATGACCTGAGCCGAAGGCAGAGGCTTAACCCACTGAGCCACCCAGGCACCCGTGAAATACATTTTGATTAAAATTCTTGACCTTCCCCTCTTGACAGTACCTTACCCCTTTCCTCCTTAACCTCTTAATTAATTGCTTGTAATTTTATGCAAATAATAACACACAGTTTTTTTATATTTCCTCCTTCTCTTACAAAATATACCCTTTTCTGTACCATGCTTCTTTTCTCAAACTAATAATATATGCAAGGGATATATTCAAGTTACTACATAGAGAAATTCTTCACTCCTGTTCAAATTACAGTCTTCTTTGTAATAGTCTTCTATTGGGCATGTATTACGTCACCTGAGAATATCCAAATATTTATCTATTATAATCTTTATCTACTGTAATCAATGCTCTAGTTAATTATCTAGAAGTAAAATTGATATCTCAAAGAGTAAACGTATATATGATTTTGACTGAAGAGGCAAATTGCCTTCAGTGGTCATTACACACTTTTCAACCCCAACTATGGATTATTTTTCTAACCAGAAAAAAAAAAAAAAAAATATATATATATATATATATATATATAAAATGAAAAAAATAAGAAAATAAAATAAAAGTTGAAGTAAATAATTTTCAGGTAATTTCCTAAAGTTAATTCATAGCTGAATGTCCATAAGCATTAGAACCCTTATTAAAGAACACCCAAGTGAAAAATCACAGATGGAAGCATGGAAAGCACTACTTTGATTTTCTCCTTGTTTCGACAGTAAGAGGTGATAACTAAATAAAAGAATAAAGTTCATATAGAAAATAACTCAGGGCAAAATAAAAAAAAAAATTCTGGAAGTCTTAAACATGTTGAGGGATACTTTCATGATTAAGCATGGCCCTTTTTATGCTCTTCAGAGTACATTCTGTGATTAACAATATTCTATAGTACTCCAAGTATATTTCAAGAAGCCCAGAAGTCCTCAGAATCCATTCAGGGGGTCTTACGATGCTTTCCCTTTACCAGCCACCTATCTGTGTGAATATGGATTTCTCCTGCAACAAAATTCTCACAATTCCCACAATCCCAATTACTGGACTGTGGTAATGGAGGAAAAATTCTATCATCTCCTTGTTTATAAGAGTTCTTTTCTCAGGTTCAAAAATATATCACAGAAGACTGAATGCAGCAACAGATATGAGAATCTCCCTGTCTTCTGTTACAGTACACACTAGAGAAACTTACAAAAATGTAAAAAATAAAACAAAAGGTTGCTTTTTCTGTTTTGTTGATGGTTTCCTTTGTTGTGCAAAAAAGCTTTTTATTGGGGCAACTGGATGGCTCAGAGGGTTAACCCTCTGCTTTCAGCTCAGGTCATGGTCTCAGGGTTCTGGGATCAAGCCCCAGTGTGGTGCTCTGCTCAGCAGGGAGCTTGCTCACCCCCCTCTCTCTGTCTGCCTCTCTTCCTACTTATGATCTCTCTCTCTCTGTCAAATTTGAAAAAAAAAAAAAAATTAAAAGCTTTTTATTTTTGGCCTAGTCCCAGTAATTATTTTTGCTTTTTTTTCTTGCCTAAGGAGACATATTCATATATTTGTAAATGATATATCCAATAAGAGGTTAATATCCAAAATATATAAAAAACTTACACAATTCAACACCAAAAATCCAAACGATCTGATTCAAAAATGGACAGAGGACCAGGATTGACATTTTTCTAAAGAAGACATACAGTTGGCCAGCAGACACATGAAAAGATGCTAAACATCACTAATCATTGGGGAAATCAAAACCATAATGTTCATCAAAATCACAATGTATCACCTCACACCAGTCAGAATGGCTAGTGTCAAAAAGACAAGAAATAACAAGTGTTGGTGAAAATATAGAGAAAAGGAAACCCTCAGGTACTGTTGGTCAGAAAGTAAATCGGTGCACCCACCATGGAAAACAGTATGGAGTTAACTCAAAAAATTAAAAATAGAAATATTATATAATCCCGTAATTTCACCACTGAGTGTTTACTCAAAGAAAATGAAAACACCAATTCAAAAAAATATATATGCATACTTTTGTTTATTGTAGCATTATTTACAATAGGCAAGATACGGAAACTACCCAAGTGTCCATCAATAGTTGAATGGATAGACCCATTCAACTATGGATATTATGT